AACTAAATGGGGGCAAAAGTGAGGACCTGGTCACCTTAACCCCAAAGAAATAGCCATTCTTTGTCGTTGGCCTCTAAGGTTCCAGCTATAGCCCAGCTCGGCCCCTGCAGAAGGCACAGAATCCTGCTCCCGCCACCCAGCGTGGGGGCGCCGGCAGGGCCCAGACTCTGTAGGGGGGGTGGTTAGCTTTGATTGTTCAGCTACAAAACACAGACTGGTATTGAATTCAGCCTGATCCCAATGTGGGCTGTTCAGGCTCCAGTGAGGGCAACTCCCTGCAAGGTCTCAGCCACAAAGCCATTAAAAATTATCCCCCAAAGAAAAACACTCTACCGATGTCTAAAAGAACAATACGAGAAAGAGACAGAGACAGAAAGTAAAGACACTAGATCACGGGGAGACAGCCATCTCTGAAAGCGGGAAATTATTTTTAAGAACAAGAAAAAGAACAGCGAAATGACAGGAAGGCATGCGGGGCTGGTTCTGTTAAAATGCCCAACTCTTCGGATCCTGGGAATGTCTATGTTCAAATAAACAAGTGCCTGAGCCCGAGCTAACCGCTTTCTTGCTGCCGATAAAGCGAACGTTTAGACTGTGAGAAAGGCGAGATTGATTTACGAATCTGAACGCGCCGGTTTTATGGCCGATCACAAATCCGTCAGCGCTCAACTCACGCTGGGAAACTTCCCAACTCCGTTTTCTGACCAGACCTCCTCCCCAGCCGCTGCTTCCAAAGGAGACCCTCCACTGACTCGGGGCAGCCTCAGCTGGCTCTGGCAGGACTGAGCAGCCCCCTCTGCACAGACTGGTACTGGGTAGGGGTTGGCAGGAGAGTAGGGTGGGTCAAGGGCACTGAAGGAAGAAAGGGAGAAAGGTCAAAAGACAGAGGGTTTAGGGTGACCACTAGAATTATAGAAAGTGAACTCAATGGCAGGGGTCAGCTCTGAATAGGGTTGGAATCTGAGAGTAGAGAGAATCTCACAGTTTAGGCCTGTGGGGCTGAAACCCTGTAGTAAACCCATGAACCCCAACTTTCCCTTTCTATTGTCCTCTTTCTCTTTGGTGGATCCGTAATTCTCACATTGCAGAGAGCAATTTGGAAAGTCCTAGGTGACTAGATCTTTGTCACTTGAGTTGCTAGAGGACCCACAACTGGTTATCTGCCCTTATGGGTAATGAGTGCGCATCTCCCCTGAGTCCCAAATATTTTCAGTTCCTGAATGGCCCAGCTGGCCTTTCTGCTTCCCCCTCCTTCTCCCCTGAGGCCTCCAGTTCCTTCATTTATGCTACCCAGCGACAAAGGAGAGGATACTGACCACTCCAGTCATTTATTGGTGAGACAGTTTTCAAATTCCTACAGAAAACAATTTACAAAATACAAGCCAATACCCCCCCACACACATGCCAGCAAGCTTCTGTCTCTCCTAGTCCTAACCCAAGGGGAACATTTCCGCCCCTCAGTTGGAGTCTGTCTCTGTCTCCCCCAAAGTGGATGACTGCCGGTGTGGATCTTACAATACAGCAAATGGAATACAGCTTTAGAAAAGCTCTATGGGCAGGGCTCATCTCTTAGCAATCTTCCACTCATCTCTTAAAATGAAAAGTTCCTGGAAACTTCCGTTAAAGGAGCAGAGCTGCCCCTGGGAAGTGGTCAGAACAGCCTGCTTGGATCTCCTCTGGTTTCTCTGCTGGGTGAAGCTGTCTGAGCCCTGTGAGCAGCTGGGGTGAGGTTGGGGATTAGGGGAAGGGGATAAGATGATTATAAAATGAGCTTCCTAAATAAAGGAAGAAAATGAGTTGAGAGGCTGTAGATTTGCATGTCAGCCCTTAAGAGATGTTAGCTTCCTAAAGTACATCCATGGTGGGAGCCCTCTCTTTCCTCACATCCCTCCTGGGGGCTTATTTCTCTGAAGCCCTAAAGATAGAGCCTCACCAGCTTCTCATGTTTTATCCCTTGTCTTTCTTTCCTCAGCCCTCCCCCCACGCAGCAAAACAGGGAAGGAGGGATGAACTGGACGCCACCGGAGGGAGGAGAGTTGTTGAAGCTTGGCCTAGAGAAGAAGCATGTCCAGAGAGACTAACCAAAACCCTACTTCTCTCCCCCTACACCCTTGAGCTAAAATGTTTTTTCGTTTTCTCTCTGATGGACAGTAGCAGAAAAAAATCCCAGAAATTCCAAAGTAGTAAAGAAGAGTTTGGAAGCTAGAGGGGGATGGAGAAGACTGGACGTATGACAGCCCAAGGACTCCTTCCTGCGGAGGTGTGTCTTTCCCTCCTGGGCAGGAGGCAAGAGCCAGCACAATGTCCAGTCTCGAAGAGGTCAAGGGGCTTCCGAGGTCATTTTGTGGTTCTAATACTGAGCTAATCGCCTAGAAAACGTGGCCTCTCCATGAACTCTCTCCTGCCAGCCTCCCGCCTCCAAATCTTAAGTGAGGCCTCAGGGAAAAAAGGCCAGCACATTCAGGTCTGATGCAGAGCCCACTGACTCTCAGCCTGAGAAGCAGGGCCCCAAAAGAGAGAACAGAGCCCTGTTCTAAGATAGCAAAAGAAAACCAAAGGGTACACTGAGCCTCCAGGAAGAAGGCCGGGGGGCAGAGCAGAAGAGGCATATTTCTGCATCAACGCACCGCCCGCCGGCAAACTAAGCAGTTTTCCTCCTCCAGCGAGTAGCCTATATTTGTCTAGAATCTCAAGCTAGGCACAAGGAGGAAAAAAAAAAAAAAACACATAAACTTATACCCTCTCCAAGGCTGATGCATTCCATCCAAGAACTGAATTTGATTTGTCTAGGAGACGGCAGTGACATCTCCCTGGAAAACAGGGATACAAACCCCAGCGTAGACAAGCAGAGTCACAGGAACACACTGACCACAGCGCACCTCGCTAGACACACTCATACGTGCATGCTGGGCCTCGCCCTGCCTGGCTGCATTTTCCAAAACCAGAAAAGCGCTTCTGAGCTGTCTCACAAACAAGCTTCTCTGGGTTTTTTCAGAGGCCCTGACACCCTTCTGTCCTAACCAGTTCAAACACTCTCCAGGTGTCTAGGCCTCTTTTTCCCTCTGACCCACGCATCAGTCATCATAAAAGGCAGCCAACCTGCCCAAACTTCCACCATAAAAACCCCCGAGAAGAGAGTTGAAAAAGAAAAAGGAGGAGACCAGAGAGTGTTTTTTCTTTCGCTTGTAAAAAGAGCTCATAAAGCGATCAAAAACCAAACCCAAACAAAACAAAACAAAACAAAACCGCCAGCCCAGGCCGGGGCTTTGTTACCTTTGCGCCTCTCGCCTCCTCTGGCCCGAGCTCCGCGGATCCCATTCATGACGAACGGTTTCTTCCAAACTGAGAGAAAAAAGTTTGCAACTTTATGGTTCCAAATTTTACACCCTCGCAGGTCTGGGAGAGCCGGCTAACACTTTTGTTCCAAATTTTTCCCCCTCGCAGGTCTGGGAGAGCCGGCTAACACTTTTTTCCCCCAACAGCCGGTCTGCGGAGATTTGCTGTTGAATAATAACAAAGGAGAGAGGATACGTATTTAAAGAAAAGAAGTGATTAATGGTTTTCTGTATAATTCTCACATTTTTCTTAGCTCTTGTCTACACAGAATGGCTGTGAACTTTAAGCTCCATAGAAATCTTTTTTTTTTTTAATTCTATTCATACCTTCCAACAAGCAGCTTTGATTTGGTTCTTTAGAGACATTCCTGGGGGGGCATATGCTTTTTAAGGACTATTTTTCCCCTGACTAAGGGCTACCGCATCCCCTTGCAGCTAAAACATCACACCGCGATTCCACCAAACAAAGCTTGCCCCTCTCATCCTCCAGGTCCAGGGTGATTTTTTTATGAGTCTCCCAGCAGCATTTAAACGGGCAGTTCAACTGCACTTTCTAGCACTGGGGACATCCCCGCGGTAGGTTCCCCCAGCCCTATCCAGCCTCCAACTACCACAGCTGCAAACCAGAGGAAAGCAAAATAAATAACAATAAAACATGGGGGTGGGATTGGCTCTTTTTATTTTCCAAAAGGAGATGGGACCTCAAAACGACTTTTCATTGCAAACACTCTCCTGAGCCCCGAGCTTTTTGAAAATGGGTGGCTGCACCCTGGACCACCACCAGACCACAGACCCCAAAGCTGGAGCCTCCAGACTGTCAAACTTCTCAGCGGTGCTGCACTAAAGCTGCCAGAGCCTGGCAGAGCTTCTGAGGGTCACCTGCACCCCTTTTCCCTTCCCCCATTTCATTTTAGGGGTGACTGGGACCTCAGAGACAGAAAGCTATTTGGTCCCCAGTCGTACTTTCGATACTTTCTATGAGAAAGAAAATGAAAATTAATACAGGAGCAGGGCTTCACAAAAGAGGCCATTTGTCTTCTTGATTATCTATTTGCTTGTCAGAGTTTGAGCTATGGCACTGGCTAGCTCCTTTGTAATATAAAAATACTCTGAAAACCTGCAAACACCCAGAAACATCTGTGCAAAAAATTAGACTCATTAAAGTCTTAAACACCTCAGAGAAAAGCGATACCTTCTTACGCGGAGAGGAAAGAGGCCGGCCTCAAGGAATCCCTCTCTGGAAACTTTAATAACCAAAGAGCCGTCTGTCTAGAAGGAGACAGCTTAACCGCATTTTATTTGCTTATGACAAATAAATCACGATATGAAAGGCTTTGCCATACTTAAGCCTCTTGTGTCCTACAATGAAACATTTTTCCTCCATTAGGGACTAGAATCAGCCCTCCCAGTCCTTTCAATCCATTTTTGGACTGCAGGAAAAAATTAAAAGCCCCAAACATAACACACCCACCCCAAAAAGAAAACAAACCAGCTACCACAATTCGGAGTCCTCTGAGATAGAAATTCCCACTGGACTCTTTGAAAAAAACCTTCAACCACATACAATGTGAGACTGAACCCACTTAAGATGCTTAAAATATACACTGGATGGCATTTGTCTATATCTTTACAACAAGGTTTCAACAAAAACACGCTGTGCTAGTCACAAGAAACCAAACATTTATTTCTATTGTCACTGTACAGGACACAAATTTTCACGTCAACGAAGCGTTCTAGACTTAGGCAGCCCCAGAAGTAGGAACAGGCCTGGTTTGGAATGTCAGAAGAACAGGAGAGAGGACACACATGACATAAAATAATAGTAATAATAATAATATTAATCATCATCATAATAAACGATAGATACAACAATAGGTAAACTATGGGACAGGGCTCTGCGAGATCGTCCTCCCAGACTGGGAGCAGCACATTTTATTTCCTACTTTCACATTCATTTTTAGTCTAGGAGAGAAGGCTTCTGCTGTACAACTCTGGTTTGGTGAGAGGGTGGTGCCCAGCTCCCAGGACTCAACTGGCCCATCGCCCTGCCAGGCATGGCTTGACCTTCCAGAGAAAGGCCTTCCCTCTTCCCATCTCTTTTTTAATGTCTTGGACTCAATTTCCCTGCCTGCTCCTCTGTAGTCAAGGCTGCCCCCTCCTCCACTTGCCCCCTTCTCTTTGCCCCACCACCAGCCCTTTGGTGGAAGGGGGTAAGCAGTCATTGTTCCCGGTGAGTCGGCACAGAAGAGGAGGGAGGTTGTGTGTGTGTTACCGTGGCCAAAACACTGCACTATCTGGCAGTCAGAGGGTGCTTTCATGGGGTGTCAGGAGTGGGGACAAAGAGAGAAAATCCAAGCTGTCTTCCAGCGGTGGCAGCAGCAGAGGCGGCAGCAGCCGAACTGGGCCTCATTTGTTAGCCGGGTGTCGAGGTAATGGTCGCCACCGAGGCCCGTCCTCTCCTCGGCAGAGTAAACAAGACAGATGGGCCTGGGCCTGGCATGATTAAAGATGAAACGTGGATCCATCTTCTCCAAAGCAGAAAACGAGAAGCTGCAGCCTCCTCCTATTTCTCTTTCTGTCTTTTTCTTTTTCCTTTCTTTCTTTCTCTTTTTTTTTTTTTTCTTAAGGAAGAAAGCAAGAGACTTGAACCTTCCTCTGGGGGGAGGGCCTCACTCAGGCTCCCTATTGTCATTTCTATAAATAAAGCTTCTCCTCCCCCTCCTTCGCATTTATTCGCATATAGATAAAGTGGGGGGAGGATAGATAGGTTGTTCTGGGCGCAGGCCCCAGGGCCTCCTCCCGCTCTCCCGTTCCCCCCAACCTGCGCTCACTGCCCACCCGCCCCGAGGTTCTCAGCTCCCCATGGGTGGCACTAGAGCACTGGGGGGCCTCCGTTGGGCCGGCCAGGGGGCCCTCCTGCAGAGCCTGCGGTGCCACCAGAACGGATCTTGGTGTTGGGCAACTTGTGGTCCTTTTTCCACTTCATGCGCCGGTTCTGGAACCAGATCTTGATCTGGCGCTCGGACAGGCAGAGCGCGTGGGCGATCTCCACCCTCCGGCGCCGCGTCAGGTAGCGGTTGTAGTGAAATTCCTTCTCCAGCTCCAGGACCTGCTGGCGAGTGTAGGCGGTCCGAGAGCGCTTGGGCTCCCCGCCGGCGTAATTGGGGTTTACTGGACACACACAGAGAGAAGGAGAAAGAGAAAGTTTTATTGCCCCCCGAACGGGAGGAGGGAGAGCCTTTTCTTCTAGTTTACACGGTGTCTCCCTCCCCCCTCCCACCACCTCGTCATCCTCCAGAAAAGGGGTGGGGGACGGGGAAAAAAGAAAGCAAGACAGAGAAAGAGACCTCAAAGTTTGAAGTTTGTTGTGATCATTGTTTGGGAATGTGTGGTGTGTGTGTGCCCCTGCGCGCGCGCGTGCGTGTGTGTATGTGTGCGTGTGTACCTGTGTATGTGTGTGTACTGGTTTTACTCGCTTCTCTCTTCCCCTTGGTAGGGGGCCCTGGGATGAGAGACTGTGGGGTGAAAAAGGGAGGGATTCTCTAAACCTTTCTTCTGTTTGGTTCCCACCCTCACTCTCAGATTCCAAGCAGTGCCAGCCTCCAGTAAAAACTTTTGCCCACTTCTCCAGCCAAGTACCAGACTAGAAGAAAGGAAAAAATAAATACTGGGAGTGACTCAACTCTCCTTAAATACGATTACCTACTCCTCCTCCTCCACCTCCCACATCCCTCCCCAACTTCCAACTTCACTGCGACTACCTCTCCCTGGCGAAAAAGTCGCTGGTGAGAATGGCTAAGAGGATGGGGAACCGACTTCAAAGGCGCGGGGCCCACCAGGCCATAAAAATTTATGGGGGATGTAATTATGTGGCTCTGAAAACAGGCGACCGTAAATCTCTGGCAATGGCGAGTTTATAGCGGGGACAATTGGCTTTCCCCAAACCCTCCCCCATACCTCGGAGGTCCCTTCGGTGTAAAGCGCCTGGGGTGGGAGGGGGAAGGGGTGCCCACGCACTCACCCGTGCTCACGTGAACTTTGCGCATCCAAGGGTAGACGACGGGCTCTTTGCACGCGGAGTGGGACGGGCTGGGGTGCAGGGGGTTCTGGGCGCAGGGAGGCGGCGGGGGGCTGCTGCTGACCGCCTCGCAGCGCTGGCCGGGCTCCGGGAGGAGGGCCCCGGCAGGTGGCGGCGCAGGAGCCCGAGGGGACAGCCCAGGCGGGGGCGCGGCGTAGTACCCGGGCGAGTGGTCGCTGGGTAGGTAATCGCTCTGTGAATATTCCTCGCACGGAGGGAACTTGGGGTCGACATAGTTTGAGTTGATCAAAAAAGAACTCATAGCCATTAATTTCTGGGAATTGCCCACAAAATATACTAAAATTTATTCCGACCCCTGACTCGTTTTCCTGTTTCCGAAAGCCCTCCTACTTACTGTCAAGTGAACAAAGTTAGGGGCCCACGTGATCCTCCGAACCAATGGCACCCTCCCCACCCACCCACCCACCACCAGGATTTACATAGGGCGCCTGCGGAGCGACCCCATCCTCGCCTTGTTCTCTCCGGGATCAGACTGAAAGACCGAGAGGGAGAGACCGCAGGTTGCGACTGGAGGGCCTTGGTGCGCTGAGCACAACGCAATCCCTTGATCTCAGAAGTTGGGGGGCTCCCGCTGTAGCCCCTTCTGTCCTGCCTCACCTTTGCTAGGCAGTCTCTGCTTTCCATAGGCCCCCATCTTCTCCGCGCGGCGGGAGGGAGCCCATGCACCTCGCATCTGCGTAGAGTTAAATGACCGGCGGCTGGGGGCTCCGCCTGGAAAGGGGAACCCATCTGGGGGCGAGGGGCACTGAGCTTGGGGCTTTTCTCTGCAGCTTGATGGGGAGGGGTAGAGGGTGAGAGAGGAGGCGTTGGGAGCTAGAGGGCGGGTGAGCAGAGGGACTTGTCAGAGATGAATGGAACCGCGGGCGGATCGATAGGAAATTCATGCACTAATTCGGGGAGACCTCGCCTTCCAAATCGCATTTAGCTGCGCTATTAGCTTAGCTGTGTCGGTCAGTCCGTCTGTCCCCCTTCTCCTATCCACTTCTCATTTTTATCCCACATGGCTCAGGCCGCAAGCGAGAAACGATTGGTTTCCCACACTGAAGATGAGCACTGTAGTTAAAAAAATAAAAAAGGAAAGAAAGAAAGAAAAGAAAGAAAAAGAAAGGAAGAGAAAGAGAAGGAAAAAATTTGAAAAGAAAAGAAAAAGAAAAGGGGGAGAAATCCTGCAACTTTTGAGAGCAAACTGAATTGCAATTTGCGAATTCCAGAACCACCCGAGCAATACTAACTGGAGCTCCCAGACATTCTAATAATTACCTAATGCTACTGCCGCCTCCGCGAATAGAAATCCACCATCCATGTGATGCTGAGGATACAAGCCCTAGAAGTGACCCCAACACACAATAACGCTCCCTGGTAATCGTGGATTTCCAGGGCATCTTGTTCTGAACCCAAACGGAAAGGCGAGCTCAGCATCCGTTTGAAACGCAAGTTTCCTTTGCCTTCACACACTCAAGACAACAGTCCTTTTTCCAGAATCTCTAATAAAGCCTCTCTGAGCCCAGAATAGAAAATAAGTGGACTTAGGGTGTGAGAATACATTAAAAACATGATCAACTACATTAACCTATTCAGAGAAGTGAAAAAAGGCCAAGGCTCCCAGGAACAGGCATGAAGAGTTCAGGTAGATGATTCCTCGTCTTTAACCAGTTGAGGAAGGAATAGAAAGGGGAAGAAGGAAAAAGGAAGGAGTCTTCTGGGGTCAGTCACCGGGTGGTCCTCATTTAGGAAAAGAATAGATTTTTTTTTTCTTCTGGAAAAAAATGAGCGGAGTGTTTATGTCAACTACATATTCCCCTAGATACGAATTTGTGACCACAAAATTCCTTACACAAATTCGGATCTACAGGGTATATACAGAAGACAGACAGATCTTCTTGGCCCAGAAATTTTCCAGTTCTCCTACTTTCCGCGCGTTCTTCGTTTGGGGTGTGGTTTGAGTGCTTTGGTTTTATTTCGTTTTGTTCTACTTTTGAGCTCTGGGAACAGAAAAAGACACCGCGGGTCCATTCTTGAGATTACAAGGTTTTTCAACCCCTCTTCTATTAGAAATAGAAGCCGCCGATCCGCAAAAGAACGCGAACCTCACCGCCGCCGCGCAACTCTCGGTGGCGCATGAATTATGAGATGTAAACATTAGCTAGCACAAAAGGAGGAAGGGTCATCCTGAGGCTGCCGCCAAGTTAGAATCAGGCCTTTCTGGGTGCTTGAGTGCCCCTCCCCTCTCCTTTCCCCAGGACTTTTTATTATTATTATTTTTAAGAAAAAACACAAAATCCCAATAGGCTTCTCTATGACCTTCGAAGCCTTTAGTTTGCGATCAAACGAATATCTAGATATTTTCCAAAGCGCCTCTCAGCAAAGGGAGGAGGGAGAGGCGGCTGGGTGTGAAGTGGGTGTAATAAAACTCCTTTTGGAAAAATTCAATGGTAAAAAGAGAGAGAAACAGCTGTAAAGAAAAATGCTGGGAGACCAAGCAGATGGGGCCCGGGATATTTAATGACGGGCAATTCCGTTTACAACCTGAGAAAAAGATCAAAGGCGTTTCATTTCCGAATGAAGGGCAATGAGGAACCATAAAAGATGCAGCCAGATGATACACAAGCCCCTCCCAATCTCCCACACCTTCTGGGAGCCAGAAAAGGGGGACAATCCCCGGGAGGTATATGGAGAAACCCGTTTCCCCACCCTCTGAGCCCTAGGCTCTTGTCTAAATTCGAAAACAGTAACTCCCACCTGCTTGGGTTGCTGATGGTGGGATCAAAATTGGGATCTGGGATCTCGCAAGTAACTTCTTGAGGGTCTCAGTTATTGAACTGAGGGCCTGGGGGTTGCACTGGAGGAATGGAGGCTCAGACTGTGAAAGCTGTGACAAGATCAGAGGAAGCCTCCTTCCCACTCAGACCCCCTTACCCATCTCCCTAGGTCCGAGGATTACTTGGGTCCCTAATAGGCAAGTCAGAATAGGATCAGTTTCATGATCAAAAACAGCAACAGCCCCAAACCACCAGCATACTCTGACATCTTGGCCCAGCCTCAGTTCCAAGACCCTTGCAGGTGGGTAGGGAGAAGAGTTCCTAGCTGCCTGCAACTAGGTCTAGAGAACCTCTGATTATTATTATTATTTGAAATCACAAATGTAAGCATTCCCACTGTTGGCCTCTGGGCCTTATTTCTGCAATAACAACACTCTTCTAGCCTAGTTAGACTCATACATATTTGGGGAGGAGGAAGCAAACTATTACACTGTAATTAACATCTTTGCGGAAACCTCAGATCCTCATCTGAGTACCCAGGGAGACTAGCCTGGCCCTAGGCCCACAGACAAAATGCCCTGCTAGGATCCCCACCAGCTCCCTAGCATCAAGCAGGGACTTTCCCAGGTCTTCTCAAAAGCCACTTCTCAGCTCCAGGACCCACTCCAACCGGTCAGACCCCTCCTCCACCCCATACCTCCTGTCCTGCTCAACTCGCACCCTCCGAAAGGCGTCCAACCCGTTGGTGTTTCGGAAATTTGGGAGGGCCTCCGGGCTGGCTGCCGGGCCTCTCGGCTGCTCTGCGCCTCACGAGGGATGTGGCCCAGGTGCCCAGAGCACCCCAAGAGAGAGAAAGGGGGGCAGAGCGACCGCGGAGATTGGGTATAGCTGATCCTAGGGCTAGAGCACGGAGATTTTCTCTGCGCGCTGGGAGCTGCCACCTGTCCATCTCTCAAGGCGCCGCACCTCCCCCCTACACACACCCACTCTGGCCCAGTCCAGCCGCCAGGGGTGGACGACTGGGTTTATCAGAGACTCCTAGGAGGTTTCATCCCTTTTTCTTCCACCCCCTAGAGGAACACTAACGGCGCTGGTGCATAATTATAAAAAGATGAGTAAGGACTCGCGCACCCGCGCGCTATCGCTATCGCGCGCGCGTGGCTGATTCCAGGGCTCCCGGGTCATCCCAAGGATTCTCAGCCTTCTCCTGGCAGCCACAGGTTGCCAACGTTACCTTCCGCTGCCCAGCCCACACCGGGGGCCCCGGACGTGCCCAAGCCTCCAGGAAGTATCCACCTTTTTTTTTTGGCAGAGGGAAAAAGGGATGAAGCGAGGGAGGGAAACCGAAGGGCCCCGCGGAGGCAAGTCCCCAGCCAGCCCGCGTCCAGCAGCTGCGCGGAAGAGGGGAAGGCCTAGAGTGGGAGCGGGCAGGAGTACTCACCCGGCCGCTCCCCGCGCCCTCCTGGCTGCAGGCCCGCCCGCAGACCCGCTGGGTAACAGCTGAGCTCGCTCTTGTCCACTATTGTGTGTCCGGAAAACCGAACTGCCTGCCGAACTGCCGCTGCGGGCAGAAGAGCCCAGGCCCCCTCAGAGGCTGGAACAAGACTTTTTTTTGGTGTGTTTTTGTTTTGGAAGCGCAAGTTTTCGTATTAATCTCATACTTTGGCAGTCTTTGTTAAACAGCTAGGCGTGTCACGAGGCTCTCTAACATTTTAATAATTTTTAGACGCCGTGACCTGCGGTTCACCCCTCTCTGGGCCTCCCCCACGAGCAGGCAGTTGCTATACTACGCTCGTGCAGTTCGCTAGGTCATATTGAATTTTGCGCAGGTCATTACTTGGGAGAAAAATGACAGAGGAGGAATTTGATGCATCTCATCCTCTCCAGCTCCACTTTTTGCCAGAGCCTTCTCTTCTCCTCACCCAACCCCACCCACGCTCCAAAAAAGTTCCACTCAGATAGGAATCAGCTGGCCCGCCCGCCCCTGCTTTGATTTTCCATCATTCTTATATTTTCCTCAGCTCTTGTTTCTGGGGCAAAGAGGGAGAGGTGAGGTTCCATGTGGGATCCTTTTAGACCCTCAAAGAGAGACTGGGACCTTGGAAACTGGAAATGGGACACCTGAGCCAGAAGCCCCCTTCCTTGGATATTTTGCCCTAAATGCCTGCACAGGCGGGGCCTGTATCCCGACTCAGTGCACATCCCATTCGCTTATCTCCCCAAGTGCCAGAGATACTCCCATTTCTTCCAAAACTTTGGAGGCTTCAGGCCCCCAGGAATGACCTCTCCACTTCTCTGGGCTGAGATTTTGGTCCACAGCCCAGTATGACTGAGGGAGACTGAAAGAAGCCAGAGAAAGGGACAAGACTGCACAGGTGAAAGCTGGGACCTTGGCTTTTAAAGGCTTTACTTGTCCTTTTAAAACAAAACAATATTCTCCTCCCTATACAATAACTCCTTGGCCTATCCCCATCACCACCACAAGCGGTTCATGAGCAAATCGAAAAGCATCAAACATACTTGAGTTTGTCTCTTCAGGATTAGAATCCAGTGGACTGTCTATAATATACCTCTCCTTTTCCCCAGCCTCTAAGGTACCAGCAGAAGCAGG